TATCCTTAATGAAATATTACAATTTGACAACTTTGTGGCAAACGATTTTAGTGCTAGCAACGCTGCTTTTAGCTCCAAGTGATTAATATAGAGTACTTGTTCTTCAGCTGATCACTTTCCTTGTACACCTATACTGCCACAGAAAGCTCCCCAGCCAGTAAGGCTTGCATCAGAAAAAATTTCCAACTTGTAAGACAAGCTTCTAATTTTCCTAAACAAGGATACAAGATTTTTCTCCCACCAACTCAAATCCTCTCGTATATAAGTTGGGATGCACATTAGTGCTTCATGATCCATGTGATTACGATGAAATCCTGCGAGATTTTAGATAGCTACAGAGTATCTTTTTTATTTTGCCCTTCACCTAGAGTGATCTCTGGATTGAGCATTGGCGCTTCCAAAGGACATGCACCTGAACGCGGGTATTTTTTCAATAATTCCTCTACGCTTTTCTTCTTTTCTTTATCTCCATTTTTTAGGTCTACAGTCAGCCACCCTTTCCACCTATTTGCAATACTTGAGTGTAGTTGAAGCTGACCAATATTATTAGATGGTTTCTTGCCAATAATTAGCTTGATTTCTTCATTTAAATTGAGTGGGAACTTTTGAGTATTTTCCCCGTGTCCTCCCTATTTGGACATTGACCTGACTCTGTTGGTTCTCTACTTCTACTATTATTTTATCTTCTACCTCAGCCACCTGAGGTTCCTTTTCTGCAGTCACTCCACTATCACCTAAAAAAACGGATAAAGATCGGTGAACTGATTTCCATTATTTTTTTGACCCTGTCTCACTTCTCGTGTGAGCTCAGCCATTTTGTTTTCTCGGTTCTTGTCTTGTCTCCCGTACAAGATCGACTGGTCATTGCATAGGCCATGTCCTATCTCTTATATGGGCTAAACTCTGCTTACTCAATTCATTTACTCCATTTACTCACCTTCATTTTCCTCAATTAATTCAGGTTCTACATTCGCATTATCCATTATTTCCTGTAAAGGCGGTGTCACTGTTGGTGGCAACCGACTGATAATTAGATCTTCTAGATACTTTAGTCTCTTTCTAATCGACTCATTTTCTTTATCTTGACTACGGGATTGCTTTTTATGCATTTCCATACTGAAAATACCTACGAAAATATCTTACTTCATCCAAAAAAAACTCCACAACTTGCTCTGCACGTGTAATCTGCTTGGTACAAAAATAACTAATGACAAACACGAATACATGGTGACTCCAGAAGTGCAGGAGGTGCGGTATTTTAATTTAAATTGCTCTAAAAGTGTGACTTGTAAGGCTGGAGTAACCGAACTACATAAGTAATCTCGAAGGGTGAGACATAAAATATAATTGACAAGTTTATAGGCAATCTATTCAAAGGTGAAAAATATGATAGCCATGAAGCATCTTATCAACATTCATGACCATACGAATCTTATTACATTTCTAAAAAAAGAAAGAAAAAGATTCATCAGCAAGAAGGGAAAAGTGTTAGTAACCGAATATATTAAGAAATTCATTGAAAAAGCCCCCGATCATCAGTTTTTAGGATATAAGGTAAATTTTCATTTAAATAAATGTATAATTGTTTCAAATTGAATATTTAATGTTAATGAATTCTATAATTTTAATTTTTTCACGAAAGTTTCGATTGACCGATTTTTTCTGCAGTTCAAGGCACATGAATCAGCCAAGTCATTGGGATAAATACGTTTGGCAACATCCCGAAAATCGTTGCTAACTATTAAAAATTTTCTGATGCCGATCAATATACCGAGCATCTTTTTCGAAGAACTGCAGCGACGATTCTTACTGACGCTGAGACACACATGATCGAATAAAAAAGATTTAGAGGATGGACCTCAAATTCCGTGGTCGTAGGATACATCAAGAAATCCATCAAGAAAAAAGAAAAAACTGCGCAAAAAATAACCAACGACGTCGAAAGAGTTCTAAACAGAAATCAACCCAAATATTATCGAAGAAACGCCAAGTGAAGAGTTAGAAGTGGATGTTAAAGGACCTGAGGAAAGAAACCACACGAAGAGGACAATTGAAGAAGTAAAGAAGATTCAATTGAATGATGGTCAAATGATACACTGACATTTCACAAAGTGTACCTATTTTACCATAAATACTAATTCACGAAGAATATGTTACTAAAACAGATCCAACCTGCCCTAATTGCAATAGTGGATCTCATCACAGATCTCATATCGGTCATACGTTCGGAAGCGAACGTTGACCTCAGCTCAACATGGCCTGAAATATCGCCAGAGTTTGTCCAAACAAAGAACACATGTAAGGCCCTCGAACAATTTGTCAAGGCATGCGCGGAAAAGAAATTGTTCGAGGAAATCAGAAGAATCCGTGACGGGGTAAGAGAAAAAAGAAGGGTAGCGAGAACAGAAGCAGCAATGCCCAACACATATAATCCTTCGCCCGTAGAAGTAGTAGGTCATTACCAGCGCCGTAAAACATAGCTCGTGAACTTCATTAATCCACACCTGGGCGTTTTCGGAACACCTAGGCACAGGTTGCAGGCCTGCAATCTTCGCGGAGCACCTGTTACCTGTGGATCAAACGGATAGGGATTTTATTCGTCACTTTCACCTCACTTAACTACACTTAATAATCTTCAATAGTAATGAAACTTTTACATACCTGTGGATCAAACGGATAGGGATTTCTCACTTAACGATCCTTAATAATAACAAAACAATAATAACTTTTTATATATTACAGGAAACATCTAACACTAACCATTTTCTTTCTTTCAGCTGTTGACAATATCAACACACCATATCTCCTCACACCATAAACAACTGAGGCCGCCGACCAAAACGGATAAAACTGGTACTACGGGAGACCGAAATCCAAGCCTGCATCCAGGGCTGCAAAGTCGAAAAATGATATGCACAGAACCGGGTGCTTACTGTCAATTGAGGTTGGACTCGTAGTGGTATGTTGCAAGGCCTTGGGCTAGATGCGTGTATCGTCGTGCCTTTCTAAAGGCGCAAGAATATTACGTCCCAAGTAACGCCGTCACTAGAAGTAGAGTCATCCCCAGAGTTATGCCCTACAAGGCGAGGTACTCAAATAAAATGTCCTTTTCGAGGATTTGGATTCACCAAGATCATCTCACCTTTATCCACAATATTCTCAATTGCAATATCGCACAGTTTTTGTCGTCTGCATGCGCCGGTGACTCCAAAAATTAAAGCAATCTGTCGATAAATTTTTCTATTTCTTCGGCACTCAAAACTTTTGATTTTTTAGCGACATATCCCTTATGGTTTTTTTTTTCAAAAGTGCAATTAATCCTGAGTAATTATGGATATTTATGGAGTGTTACATATTCACAACACTTCGCAACATAGAATATATCGCCCACAAACTTGATGATTTCATGGTTTTCGATAGCAAACTAAAATACGCTATAAAAACTGTCTCCGCAAAAGAATTGATCTTATTCTCCGATTGCCAAGTTATGAACTTTTCATATATTTTCTCATGTTTTTCTTTCGATTTTACTGGTTATAAATTGCTCCGAAGTTCGTTAGCTCATTGAACAATATCCATAGGTATTTCCTCTTCTTCACTTGTTGGATTGCTGTCCGGTATAATAAATTAAAAGGTTTTTTGCCGAACATTGCTCATCGTAGAACCTAAACAAATATAAACTTTCCATTACTTCTATTTTTAAGAAACATTTGTTAAAAATGATCTAAAATTTTATTTTAGCAATCTTTTTGAAAATAATATTTTAAAATATGTACCCTCTATGAGAAGGTAAAATGATTTTCAACTGTACGACATAATTAATTAGTTTTGATTATTTCCGCCTGTTTTGGAGGTTTTTACCCGCCGCAGGATTTTTTCCCCCAGAATAATTTGTTTTATCTATTTTTGAGCAGGCAGAGTTGGGGAGCGGCAATATTTAAATCTAGGCTGAATCATTACTTAATTAATTTATAATTTTTGAATTGGAAGTTTAATTTCAAAATCTGCATGTTTATTTTTTTCAGTCTAATTCAATATTTTTAACCATCTGTTAGAAATTGCCAGGAGGCAATTTTTAGAAGATCGGAAGAAGTGTAAAATATATGTGTGTCAATCTATAGATCGATTGACAAACGACAGAATTTTTTGTTAGCAACGCGCGACTGGTTTGTTCACTTTAGTTTATGACTGAAACTAGCTGATTCTAGATGTCATATTTTTAATTCTGTATTTGAATTCGTCATTTCAGTAAGCCTTCCTCTTCAATATCTGTTGTTCTCTACCTATACAGTCAAACCTGGATAAGCGAGAGTTCAAGGGAGCACAATCTCATTCTCGCTTATAGATGTTCCTCACTAACCCGAGTTTCTCGCTAATGCAGGTACATGGGTAGCGTTTCTCACTTATAGGGGTACGCAGCAATAACAAGTCACAGTAAGTACGAATGTAGTTAATATGTAATAATGATAAAATTATGTGCATGATATGCAAAACATATTATATTATTGTTATGTACATATACATATATGTAATATATTTTAATGCTTACGAAAACAAACAAAAATATGTAATTTTAATTCATTTAGAATTTATTTACAATTAAAAGAATCTGTCAATTTCGTTTGGGTTTCTGTTTTTGTATTTTGAATGTTTTTCTCTAACTCATAAATTTTGTCGAATATTGCTCGATCAACAACCACTGCGTATTCAAAGTACTGATGAACCGTCTCCAACGTATTTAAAGCTTGCTTCATTGGAATGATCTTTATTTCTGTTTCCGGGATCTGTGTCTCGTCTTCACCGTCATTTTCAGCATTACAGTCGTTCACACAATTCTTAACGATATCGTCGTTGTTTTGTTCTCCAGCGGTAGTTGCATCGTCGTCAATTTAAACAAAAGCTTCGAAGCTCGGCATTAACATATTGGATTCGTGAGACACAAGCTTAGTCCATTCCTCGTTGCTAGGTCCAACTTCAACATCATTTTCCTCTGACCGGTCTTACACATCTGTACTTTTCCAAAACCCAGCTTTCTTGAAGCAGTTTTTGACAGTAACGTCACTGACTGAGTACCATGCTTTTCTAGCAATTTCCATAGCTAGAAGTACGTTAATGTCCGGGCTTCTGTTTTCTTCTAGACTCGTAAGAATATGTTTAGCGACTTCTCTGCGATAAAAGCGTTTAAAAGTGTGAATGATGCCTTGATCTAATGGTTGAAGTTTACTAGTGGTGTTAGCAGGTGAAAACATTACTTTTACGTTTGAAAGTGTTGGTAAGTCCGTATGGGCAGCACAGTTTTCAATGAATAGCAGAATTTTTTTGCGGTTTATCTTCATTTGTTCGTCAACTTTTTTCAACCAATCTTTGAATAATATCTTGGTCATCCAAGCCTTTGTATTATTGGCATCATCAACGGGTAGAGTCTTGACACCTTTAAAACATCTAGGTCGTTTTGAGTTCCCGATGATGAGAAGTGGGAGTTTGCTTTGTTTCCCTCCATGGAATTTTTCGCCTTTAAACGTAAATGTTTTATCCGGAAGGCACTTTAAAAACAAAGCAGTTTCATCCGCGTTGTAAATATCGTCTGGTTCATACCTTTCTAAAAGATTTGGCAGATCTTCAATCCAGTGGTTGCATACACCTTGGTCTACAGATTTACTTTCCCCGGCTGCTTTTTTGAAATCTATATCATGACGCCTTTTAAAACCCTCTAACCAGCCGTTACTAGCAGAAAAGTTCTGGATTCCCAGTTTTGTAGCAAACTCTTCAGATTTTTCTTTCAACAAAGGTCCATCTATGGGAATGTTCTTATCGAGAGTTTGTTTTATCCATTCCAAAAGACACTTTTCGATATTGGGAAATTCAGAAACTCTAGTCCTCTTAATATTTCCATGCCCATTAGAGCACTCAGACTTTATAGATTGTTTTGATTTTATAATTTTATAATAGGTGGATTCTGGTAAATTAAATTCCTTCTGAATTCCATTTCGCGATTTTTCGGATTCAAACGCATTCACTATTTTAAGTTTATCACTTAATGACAGTACTTTAATTTTCCGTTTTGACATGATGCAGAACAGAACTTTCCTTCGCAATTGATAACTATAAACTGAGTAAGTCCGACAAACAGGACGGTACACAGGAACATGGGTCCATTCGAAAAGAATGCGATAAAATAACAAAATTTTTTTAGTTCCACGAAATAGAATGGGTACAATATTGGCAAGAAAACAATACAAAAACAATGGTAGAAAGTTCCACGAAAGTTAAGAACGAGTCATAAAATAGCAGATGTTAAATTTGTAAATAAAGCTCGACTGTCGCTTAGAGAGGTATAGTTAAGTAGCAGTCTCACTTATGGAGGTCTATGAGGAAAAAACGACTCTCTCTTGCAGAGGTTTCTGTTTCTCGCTAATAGAGGTTTTGGGAGCTTAAAATCTCGGGTCCTGGCTATTACTCTCACTTATAGAGTTTTCTCACTTATCCAGGTTTGACTGTATTTACAGTATTGATAGGAAGGAAGTTTTTATAGAATGTAGTAGTTATTAATTTGAAAATTCTGAAAATTATAATCCTTTCCAAACCATGTCTTTACTTATTTATGAGAGTTCTCTTGAAGTTTCTATAAAATCGCCCTCTACGCGCTAGACTATTTTAATAAAAGTTTCTAGGTATTTATTAAAAAATGGAGTTGGCAAAAAAATAGTAACGGACTTAAAACAGCTTTGAATTTTATTATTTATTTCATCGTCTGAAAACTTCAATCTCCAATGCATTCAGCATGTTTATCGAAGATTAGTATCTGCTTTGAGGGCAGAAATATAGTGATAGCACTATGATACTCTGTATACTAGAATATTTAGATTATAAAAGTGTTTCACTATAGTATATATAATTGATAGTCAACATTGTAAACACTTGGATATTTAATTACTAAACATTTTAAGTGATTTGTTACTAAACTTTCGAATTTTCTCTAATTTGCCGTGTGTATTCTGAATATATTCTAAGATTACATTTTTTCGAACAAGGTATATTGATTGATGAAATTTTCGTGCCTAAATTTCCACGAATAAACTGAGTAAAATTCTCTTCTCACAATGTGAATGAAAATAAATCAAACAACGATGTGTCCGACGGGTTAAAACTGTAGTTTTAGTCTATTCACTACATTTTTTGTTACAGACAGACTAGTGTTTTAGTACTATATATGTCTATTTGCTACTGATAGGGAGACCTATTCTTCTTTCTAACATATGTACTAATTTAACTGTAACAAAGACACGCAGCTTGGTTTAAACCGCTTTTTCAATGTACTGACGTAGACCTGAAATGATTGATCATTATAACAATGATATAATATTTTCAATGACTATTTTTTTTTTGTTTTGAATGCTAGTATTCATTATTAACATTATATGAGTTAAAACACGTCCGAATGGACTTGTGTCGACAATTGTGCCTGAAGGACCTAAAAGTACATTTATATTTGCATGTCTACACATTTATACTTTTTTCTGATGCTTATTGTGCATTTTATTCTGTTGGATATGATTTTATATATTGAACTGAGTCGAAATATTTTTCGCAACTCATAACTTTATTAAGATTTATTGTTATCCTATTATTGTGTCAAGGTTTTTCCTATTTTTAATGAAACGTTAACATAGCAGATGATAACAAGTAATATTAGAAAAAAAGTAAACAAGAAGTAATTTTTTTTTTCAACTTTACAATTGAAATTTAGATTGAATACAAAATAAAATTAGAAGACGTAATGAAATTGTTATGTGATTATTAATTAATTACATCATAAGGTACGGATGTGAATAAATTTTGGTCGAAGAGAAATTTAAAATACATTTTATTCAAAAATTCAAGTAATTTTTACTGTGTTCTCTTGTAAATCTGAAACAGACGGAAATTAAAATAAAATTTCCTATGTTATATGATGTTAATTAAAATAATCTGCGGGGTGTTCGGAAAATGGTAGAAAATTTTCACACTAACGTGCTTCATATTTAAAATTAAAGTATTTAATTAAGTGTAGATATTGGCTTAAATAAATAAAAAAGTAAGAATTATTTTCTTACTGGGCACTGCGCCTGAGTCTTGTCGCTGAGAGCCAACATGTGATCAACTGTAAATACTTATATCGTGTGTGCTTTGCTTTCAAAGCAATCTTATTAATTTATATTTCAAGTTTCACTCCATGTTTATTTACGATACAACGACCAATTAAAACCTTTTATTCTTTCAAGCTTTCCTTCTCGAGTAAAAGTTATAATATTAACTAAACATCATTTATAATTTAATAATAGCCTCTCTATAATCTTTGCACCGAGATTAAAACTTAATTAAGAATTTTTAAACATTAATTGTGATAATTACACAGAAGAATACTTCAATCCATAGAACGCCACTAAAAGGAGATCTAGAGGCATTCTTATGAATAAGAATAGTTGTAAATATGTAACTTTTTTTTTTAATTTATTAGATTGCGCTACATAAGTATTCGGTTGTTCAATTTGCTAACTTTTTTTTTCAATGAATTGTTATGAAAAAATAAAATTACCCCCATGGTGAAGACAATTTTTTTATATCATATAAAACAATCGAAACAAGCCCGAGTAAAAATGATCAGTTTTTGGGCGCGCCTAAAGGAGACCCAATTTGAGCTCAAATGATTTTCCAGGCCCACAACGCGCCCAATTGAAGCCCAAAAATATTTTCTAGGCTCACAACACGCCCAATTCGGGCCCAAAAATATTTTGTAGGCCTAAAACTATTTTAAAAATCCAGAAAAGAAAAAAAAATTGTCATAAAAACTTACCATCAAATTAACTTTCGGTGCTACAAATTTACATTTGTAATAATTTATTGCCATCATTGTCGAATATGATCTTAGACAATGGGCTTGAATTAGGCGTGTTTCAGGTCTGCAAAATATTTTTGGGCCTGATTTGGGCGCGTTTTAGGCCTGCAAAATATTTTTGGGCTTCAATTTGGCTCCTTCAAAAGTTAGGCCTGTAATAGGTTTGTTTCGGGCACTGAAAATTTCTCTCCACAATAAAGTTATTGTACGTAATCAAAAAATAATTTGAGAACGGATTTCTGGAGCAACGAAATCTAAAGTTTCGATTGATCAATTACATTAAAAGCTTACCTATTGTATCTTGAGCAATACAATATTAAATTGATGTAGAAGTTTTGAATAACTTTAATAAGAATTCACTGGCAATAGGAAAACTAACATTAAGTTTTCTTTTGATGAAGATAATTTTATCATTATACTTTTCTGACAATATCAGGTTAACGATCGACTTTTCAAAAATGAAACAGTGAAAAATATTGATAATGACTGTCTAGAATAATAGTAATACAATTTTTTCAAAAAGTTATATTATTATAACTGTCAAATCATTAAATATGGACTGTTTGGAAATCATTTTCAACCATTTTTACTGTTTAAGTTTTTAAAGAGTAACGAATTTTTCTACACTAGTACAAATAGGATGTAACTATTTTTTGGATTATAAACAGTTCTAAAATATTGTAATAGTTTTCCAATAGTCATTTTACTTTTGATATCATAATTTTTGTTTAGTCTTTTATTTCAAAAATTACTGCAATGAACAATAATCATTGATTGATATTGGAAAATATTTGAGCTAATAATCTTATAAAATATACATAATAAATAAATATATATATATATATATTTGTGGTTTAATATGTGAATGAATAACATAATGTAATGAGTAATGTTTATTTTGCATTCAATTGAGAATCAATCGTATCTAATATTACTAATTTTACTACTTATTAAGTGTTTAAAATAGAAAATATATTTCATTCAAGTACTTTTCAGTTTGGTTCATAAAATCAGATTTGTGAGGCTCATGGCTTACAAAAACGTACCACTGTTAGAGTTTATACATTGTTACCACATACATTTTTGAAAATTTTCAATCATGACAAAAAAAGATAGAAATTAAATCTATTATTTTCATTTTTAATAGAAATGCAAATTTATTTAATAATATCATCATTAACACAATGTGGTAAAATTTTTAAATATAATATTTAGTAATATTTTCTTAAAAAATAAATATTATTGTTCTAAATTCATGTTAGAAATGTACTATATCACCTAAAAAATTTTATGAATGTAAATTTTTGAAAACTTAGTTACAATCACTGAGAAATACAGGAAATTTTGCTGAGTAATGAACTTAATTTTTACTAAGAAACGCAGTAAATTTTACCAAGAAATAAAATAAAATTCACTGGGTAACGCTGCACAAATACATGTTGGCTCAGAATCTGTTAAACCTTTGAGATGTGTTCTTAGCCATAACTGGTTTTCCACAATGAAGTTACATGTACATGATAGCCTATCATATTTAAAAGTAAGTACATTCAGAACCAGCTGTTTAAAATAGTAACTGTTCTAAACTTTGCTCAAAACAGAAAATTTTGCTATTCTGATTTTGGAGTATACACAAGCATCTACCGAACCATCAAAATCGATTGAAAACTGCGCACTTGTTCAAAGCTATAACATTTCAAATGGTTTACAATAAAGTAGTGAATAAATAATAAACAAAGCTTTGTAATACTCTTCGTAAAAAATATAGATCGAATTTTACTCAGGCACTCTGTTGAAAACTAACTAACAATTCATCATGCCTATCTTGTAACGGCTTCGAATATAAAATTTAACGATAAAATTATAACGCAATTACCATAAAGTGTTTGTCAACATAAACACTAATTATCTCTCAAATTAAAATTTGGAATTAATAATGGCAATATAAGTAAAAATAGTCAAACAAAAAAGTTATATTCTAAGCTTATGTCCTAAGTGGAAAATAATTCGAATTATTATTATTTTATGACAGGTTGTTCTTAAGAAAAATCATGTACATAATAAGTTACGTAGATATCCAACGACTTCTTTGCGCGCGAATCCAGCGATCGATTCTACACTCTCATTGGCTGTTGTGTTTGCACGCGCCAGACTGAACGCTACCTGACTACTCTACCAATTTCACCACACTGGCAG